TGGGGCCAGCAGAGGTTGAAAAGCCAAAAAAAGTTGGCTTTGTTGTTGTTGTTGTTGCCGGTAATTTTATTAAAGCTATAGAGCAACTGACAAGTGCAAGTACTGATATAATCCCATTAAATATACATCAGCATCAAATAGAAAATAATGGTCAGAAAGACAGTGAATGAATTATTTTAAGAGGAAGGAGGCAGAACATTGCAGGCATTATTTTAGTCAATTTTTCCCCAATGGCGAGATGCCTTGAAAAGTGTGGCAGTGTATATGGGCATAATACTTAAATGTCTTTCATGTCTAAGTCTTAAAAAATATTTTGTAAATAAAATTTTAAGAGAAAAAAGTGCAAACTGTTGATTACATCCAAGCATATGGGTAATTCATTAAAGGGGCAATGAGGGGCATAGGCCTTGAATCTAATTTTGTGAAATACGTCCTCTAAGAATTCTATTTCATTAATGCCTCAGTCTAGCACCACTGTCACGACTTTATTATTTAGGTTACGTTAGGTCTGAGACTGCCAGAGCACACAGCATTTGCTCTTTGCCCTCCCCAAGACTTATGACGCAAAGAAAATGCTGAACTTTTACATCTGAGGTAATAATTTCATATAATGAACAATCAGTAAGCACAAGCCACATATTCTTTTAGCTATCTTTCTTAAGGGCTTAATTGTGGAGAGCTGAAACACATTTAAAAAAAAAAAAAAGAGGAGATTGGGGGATTTGGACACTTCAATTGTCAAGCCAAGCGTGACATTTTAATAAGTGTTACCAAATACTAATTAGAAGCAAATGCGATTACCCATATAGAAAACACATCTGCAAACAAACCTATCTTTTGGTAGAAATGTCGCTGTGCTATGAAATTACAGAAGCTTAAACAAGTAATATTTGTTGGAATGAAATTTACTGACAAATCCCTTCTAAGCAATCTTCTTCCACATTATCAGATTTCTTCAGTTGATGTGTTACATACGAATCTTCAATCTTGTAGTTCACAGAAATCACAACTCAACTCCTCTCTTTGCTCCTTCTTGGCAAATCATTGACAATATAAAAAGAAATGTTTTTAAACACTGACTTTGCTTAAGGCTTCAAGTTGCCTTTGTGCCATCACAAGTAAGTAGCTTTCCTAAAACATTTTTTCAAAGAAACCAAACAGTACAAAGAAAAGGTACTCAGAGTAAATCTAGCTTAAAATATAATTCATTTACTCACACTAAACTTTTCAACCAAAAATACCGGCCCGTTAAGAATTTAAAAAAATAATAATAATACATTATTAGAATACTCTGGAAAAGAGAATAATTATAACTTTATATTTAGCACTGCATGTATCTGTGCTTATAGTATGAATCCTAAAACTATATTTTGTGGCCACAAAGGTGAATACACTACATCAAAGGTAAAGTTTATTATCAAGATTCCCAGAAACTTTTGGGAATTAAAAAGGCATCTATGACCAAAGGTTAAACATATAGCTTTAAAGACATGAGCCTAAAAGTTTGATGCTCTCAGGATCATAAATTAGAGCATACACATACCTCAAATCTCAAACTTCCCACAAATACACACTGAATCTAAAGAAGGGTAGTTTTAAAGCAAAATCACATTAAGAAAGCCACCTCTCCTGAAATGGCATTTTTCACATGTGGTCGTGTTAATGAATTCTTATTTATCCATAGAATCCTTTTAAAAATAGAATTGTTCAGTGGCTTGATAAATCAAGTTTGGTCTGAAGGAAATCCAATATGCAAATACTTTAAGTGTGCTGTTTTACAAATAGTCATCCTTGTCAGTTTGAAAAACTGAAAATCAACAAAAGAACAGTGTAAGTATACTTGACCTTATTGCCTAATGTCTATCAAGACTGCCATGGCTGGTCGATTTCAAATTTGTGAAACTGACACTTAAAAATGTATAGTGCATCTTCAGTCCAGGTCCCTCAGGTGCTGACTAAACTGTAGTCACAGCCTCAGATTCTCCTTCCATACCAACTTGCACAGCACTTACAAAGCTAGCTTAATCACACCATCAATCTATGACTATATTTTCCTTAAAGTAATTCTGCTTCATTTATCTTTCAACCCTACATTATGCAAATAACATTCTTTATCAGTTCAATAAAGAAAAGTTATTAATGTTCCTACTTGTTTATCCTTGACATACACTGAGAAACGGTGATTACATATGGATTTGCACAAACAGCTCTTCTATGTTTCATGCTCTATATGAAAAATCATCCTTACACTTCTATAGTTTCAGAAAAGTTCTAAATAACATTCTTAAAAAACACTACATTCAATGTCTTTGACTAACATCAGAGCATGAGTTAATAGGTTAAAAAAGACAAAACAAAAACTTAGGGGACTGCCTACTTGAATTTTTCTTTAATGTCTCTCTAGGAAGGGTTTGCATATGCCATACAAGGGTATCTCCTGGATATAAGAACAGTTATACAGGCCCCTAGTGGCTTAGCAAATAGCAGCAGATGAGGGGATTCCGATTCTTAGTTCTGGACTTTGAGATATGCTGGCTTTAAATGAATGTCAATCTTAAAAGACAAATCAAATCATTGCATTTAATACATTAAGCAGTTTTACTTTCATGGTTATCTATGAAATACATACATATTAAAGCAGATAATGGCATTTCGTTACTTTAATAACTACAACTGCACTGGTCCAAGAAGAATTTGTGTTATATAACCTCTACGAAAAATATTTAATTCATCCACCTCTTTACATGTCATCACAAAAGTAATATATAGTACTCATACATATATATATATTAAAATATATTCGAGAGATACTTTGCCTCTTTGAATCTCATTCCTATCATACTATTATTACTGAGGGCTTTAAGAATAAATTATTTCTATATAAAGTGCTCATTCTTTAAAATGAAGTATAGATACAAACTGAATGCCATTTTTATAGTAGTAGAAGTCTAAATGTATTTCCCAACAACAGCCAGTGATAAAACTCACATTGGAGTGTACCTATTTTAAAAGATCTATAATTAATAACACCCTTTAATCCTCATCCCCTTGCTGTCTTTCTTTTACAAAAGAAAATTCCAGGCAGGCACATTTACAGCTTTTAGCAGTTTTTAACTGGACACAATCTGACAGCTGAATTCATGAAACTGACCAGCTTGTCAATTTCACACTTTGAAAGTACAATAATAGCTGATAACATGAGGGTGAATTTAAGAAATCTGTCACAGAATTGCTAGCTCCATTGAAAAGCAAAATACCAGTACATAATAGTGGGAGGTGGGAAGTAAGAAAATTTCTATTGTCCATTTAGGATGTCCGTTTCAAGAATTTGGACATCAAGCATTGAAAATTTATCATTTCATTATTACATCAAAAAAATAATATCTATCTGTGGCATATAACAGACTGTTTTCAAAGTAAGTATAATATTTACTAAGCATTATCGTGGATATTATATTATCAACGGAACATAATCTTTAAGTTGTTATCATCTAAATATTCCTTTAAATCAGAATATTTCAAGTCGGTACAACACTCTGGTTTTACTTAAGTTGAATGGTGGGTGTGTACTCTTAGAAACAGAGATAGAATAGCCAACATGTTCAGAAGTATCAATGGTAGGACCAACTCCCCATATGTGCTACAGGATGGTTGGGAAGAACACACGAAAGGTAAAGGTCCACGTCTGTAGATCTGGAAGTCCAACAGCAAATCGATCTCAAGTCACAAGCAGTTATCAGTGTCTGAGAGGCTCGAAATGTGTGCGTTACGCTCGGAGTCCCGGGCACTGTGTCCCGGGCATGTAAAAGCGGGGGCGGCGGGGGTGGGGAGAAACTTTAAGAGAAAATACAGGGGGAGCGATCCCTCGGGAGTCCTCCTGGATGCATAGGGCACAAATTGTAGACTGGTCTGGGAAATCACTAAGAATTTTAGAAAACAGAGGAGACATTTGGCAAGTCGAGTACTGGGAGGCGAGCTGGAAACAATACAAGTGGATTGTGATAGTCCGGGTTTTGGAGAATGGAACTACTATTCGAAATCCTGGTACACCCAATTAATGAAAGCCAAGTTCACTCTTAGTGCTCAAGATTTTTTGTTTAAGTATACGAAAACTGACTTCATTTGTAAATGCTTCTAAGTGAAAATCAATCTCTTAGATAAACAACGCAAGTTTTCTACATGACTATAAAACAGTTAAGATAAATCTATAGAAAAAACAAAGACCCTTTGGATTTGCCCGTGGCTTTCTTTTTAAATTGTTTCCTACAACTGGGACTTTTCATTATAAATTCTGTGCTCCCTCCCATAAGGAATAGTGTGTAAGCACAGCAAGATTCCCCTAGCAGAACTACGAGCTTTGATTCGGCCATGGAAAGGTCTCCAAAACAATCCCCCTCCTCTATTGCAGCCGCGTAGACTTTGATTCTTGCTATTTCTCCTTCTCCCCACTAGTTCAGAGGAAGGAAAGAAAGAAATTAAAAAAAAAAAAAAATCGCCCCCTCACCGTAACCAGCCCTCCTTAAAACAGTAATCATTGCCTCTTTAAAAAGAAGGCAGCGGCAGAATCCCTGGGTAGGGTCGGTTTGTCCCAGCTTCCCACCATTTCCCCAATACTACGTCCGCCGCAGGAGGAGAGAGCGGGGGTCGCACAAATATACACACTCAAACACTCTCATTCTCTAAAATTGCCACTTTCCCTGGCCTGAGGTTTAAAGCGAGAGGCGAACCGTGCAGGGGAGGACCTCTGCCCAAGGAGGTTCAGAAGAGCAAACTGTGCGCTTCGGTGCCGGGGCGCTGGGCTCGCGGACGCGAGAGTGTGCAGCTCCAGCCGGGAGGCGCGGGCTACCGAAGCCAGGCTCGGGGCAAGCTCCGGGCGTAGAGAGGAGAGGACGCAGGGGGGCGGACCGGGTCAGCTCGGGGGACTTACCTGGTCATGTTGGCTCCGGCCAGCCGCTGCCACCGCCTCCCGCGCCGCCACCAGCACTTTCCTCCAGCGCCTTCGCGTCCCGCCACGGCCGCCCAGCCCGCGCCTGCCCAAGCCACCGCCTCCGGGCGGCCAATTTAATCCCGCGGAGCTGCGGCCGACGCCGCGGGAGCCCCCCTCGTCGCTGCCGCCGCCCGGCCCTCGTGCGGCCAGCCCAGTCCAGAGCGAGGAAGTGAAGGAGAGTCAGCGAGTGAGTCCAAAAACCCGAAATCCAGCATCCAAAGGAGCGCGTCCCCCCGCCCTCCCTCCACCCCTACTCCCTTCTTCTCCTCCTCCTCCGCCCCCTCCGCCTCCTCTTCCCGGGCCGTCCTCCTGGCCCTTCTGAGCCCGCGGCTTCCGCGGCGGTTTCTTCTCCTCTCGCTCCTCCTGCTTGCCCAGCGCTCGCTTCCCCGGCTGCCGCCGCCGCTGTGTGTCTCCTCTCCCTCTTCCTGCTCTTCCTCCTCCTCCCGCGCCTCGCTGCTCCACCGCTCGCGGCTGGGGGGTCCGGGGCCGCGTCTCCTCTCCTCCCTCCGCCTCTCTTGTTTCTCCTTCCTGCTGCTGCTTTTAAAGAGAATTCTTTGGCCACAAATAGCAAGTCGGCTGTCCCCCTCAGCGCCTCCCTCCCCTTCTCTTCTTCCCCCCAAAAGTGAAGTGCACGCAAGAGGTAACCAGAAACTGAGACCGGCGGGGGGCGAGGAGGAGAGGCGGGGAGAGGGGGCGAGGCGACGCCTCCAGACCGACCCGAGCGGAGTCAAGGCCGGGAGGTGGGATGGCGAGTCCAGCCCAGTCTTTGGACCTGGCGTGAACCTGGTGATTATGGTTGGAGGCGAGGTGGTTTGGTGGGGAAATTAAAAGAAAAAGCTTAGAAAGTGATTGGAAAAGCTTCTCTCTTTGTTTCCTTGTCTGGGTGATTTCAAAAATCCTCGTAACATGCCAGGGATCCCATGGAATCGCGGTGCCCGGCACTGGGGGGGTTGTGTGTGCGCGCTGCCTGCGCAAGAGTGTGAGTGTGGGTGCGCCGGTGCTCGGGGAGAGCCAGGCCCGCTGCGCCCGCTGGCAAATCCCTGAGTCTGGACCACTGACCCACTGAAAGGGCCGGAGAGCTGGATGAAGGAGGGGCAGGAGGCAGGAGAGCTGGGCAAAGGAGGCGCAACACACACACACACACACACACACACACACACACTCTCTCTCTCTCTCTCTCTCTCTCTCTCTCTCTCTCTCTCTCAGAGGAGGGGGCGGGGTGACGTCACTCTCCGGCATCCATACACCAGGGCAGAAAAGACCCTCTTTAACAAATTCACTCATCTCCTTAGAGATGCACACTCAGGCGCTTTCTGCTCTTCGTCCTGGCGCACAGGAGGAAAAAATGCTGGTTGCGCCCCATTCGAAGCTGTAATAATATAAGGAGCGCGCGTTGATGAGACACAGTTTGTGTCCGCCCCAGTTCACCTTGGCAGCCTCATTCGGGTATGCTTGTAGGATCCACCTTGGAGTCAGAGAGTAAGAAAGAGAAGTGTGGAATCAATCTTAGTATAATACTCTTGCTTTGCTTCCATGCCACTTGCTCTTCTGATGTTAGAAATTCAGTGCTACCCCGTTTCTCTGAAGGACACCATTGAAACCCTCTCTCTAGACATGCACCCAGTCGTTGGGCTACACATGCTTCATCCACAGAACCTTTTATTCACAGAACACACTGTGTGGATTGTTAGCTAAGAGGTGAATTTTAACCTTCACTCCTGGGATCCAGCACGTGGAAAAAGTCAGCAGCTGAAAGCCACCTTTGGCAATTAATTGGCCTACCAAAATTTTATTATACACTTGTTCAGAAAGGTTAAATAAAGTAAAGATGGGGCCTCCAGCCACCTCCCTTGCTCATTCTGTGTTCAGGCCAGGACATACACGCAATACTTATTCCTGCAGATTGAAGGCTGTCTCTGAAAGAGCAAAGGTAAGCAGACTGCCTTAGATTCAGCCTAATGATCCGGCATCCTGACTGTTGTCTCAAGCTGCCCATTTGTTTCCACCATCTGCATGCTGTGCTCCTGAAAGGCACTGAAGGATTGTTCAGTAATCCTTTGCCCGCTGTGTGCTCCAAAAAGTCACATATTTTGAAAAGAGTCTTGCTAAATGAAGTTTTAGTTTTCCAGCAATTTGAGGAGAGGCAGAGAGGATCATCTTGGCATGACTCTTCCTTGTTCTTTCTTTTTTTTTTAATGGCTAGCCTTAGTAAAAATCAAAAAGAAATCCATTCTTGTGCAAGCTTCCAGTTCCAGGTTTGCCTTCCAATCTTTCTGATGACATAAGGAACTGAAAGGCTGAGCAGGTATGATGGACACCTGCCTTCTGTGTCCTAGTGATGGATCCAGCAATCTGAGCCTCCACATAGGTGATTCTCACTCAAGGTGCAACTTTGATGTGGCTTCCTCATTACCATGTCCTCCTCCACAAACAGGTGATTTTGTCTTGCTCTTGCAAAGTTGGATACTAGTGGAATCAACAAAAGTTTTTAAAACTCGAATATTCCTCTGCTGTTATCTTTGGTGAAGAGACCCACATTCCTCTGCCTCGTTTAAAAATATCTGACCAGATCTAACTTTATTTAAGAAGATCTCAGCTGGGACATCTGACTGCAATCTGGGAGCACAGTCAAGGAACAATTAACGTGCCCCCACTGTTAACAAGTTAAACTAGTTCGAGAACTTAGTGATCATCATTACCAAGGTGAGCAAGAAGCAGGTAGAAAAGGGACTCTGAAATCGGAGGAGAAAGAGGACAGTACAAATAAATGATGTAAACCCAGTTTTCCTAACACTATAAGGTCCTAGATGTTCCTGCCCCACTATGAGCAAACATCTGGGAGAAAGAAGTACTTGGAGGGAGGAGATGAATAGAGAGTTTCAGCTATTGTTATACAAAAGAAACAGCCAGCATTATTCAGGGTGATGCTGCCAAGGAAGAGGAGACAAGGAGACAGCAAATAGAGGAATCAAGCTTTCTCTGCACATCTGAGTAGTGAAACTGTAGCCCAATTTATAATAAGTATACTAATTCAGAGCAGGTTTATAGCAAAACAAAACCCCGTAGCATCCAATATAACCTCTGGGATAGTTTACATTTGGAGATTTGAAGTCAGGGAACATCAGAGGTAGGCTAGTCATCTGTTGAAACCACTTCATTTTACAGGTGAGAAAACTGAGTTCCTGAGAATTTAAGGTGACCCAAAATTTGGTGACAGAAGCAGTACAAAAACCCAGATATCATGACCCAATGTCCCTTTCCCCGTAACCATCTCCCAGTTCTGGATCAAAGAAGCTGTATTTTTTTGATTTATCGATGAACAATAAATATAAGCTATTTTAAAACTATAAATGCTTACATGAAAGAAAATGAAGAAATGGGACTAGACATTTTCTTAGTTTCTTTCCAGCTCTTACATCTTATGATGAATAGCACGCAGGAGCTTTGCTACAGCACAACACCCTCTAGTGCATAATTCAGCATATGATGAGTATGAGTCTATTTTGGACCCCATCCAAGAGAGTTAGTTCCTAGAAGTACTCAGAGGATTTTATTCTCATCAATCATAAAGTATCCTAAAAAGAAAACTAAAAATAATCATAATGACAATAATAGTAATCATTTGTTATACTTGTATTATATACTAAACATGCTATCTCACTGTTTCCAAAAGGCACCTTTTGTGGATCAGGAATCTAGTGGATCATGAACAATATTTCAAGCAAAAGAAATGAAAGCAGGAAAGCAAAGCATAAAGTGTGTTATATGTACTAAGTTTTGTTTTGTAAAACTTATGTTTCGATCATGTGGCTAGTGATTAAAAGGAAAAGTTTCAAAGCCACTGCCTTGCCTCCAATCTTAACAGCTGCTCTGCTAATTAAATATTATAAGCCCCATTATGTAAGTGAGGAAACAGGAAGAAAGAGGATAAGTTATTTTGCCAAGCTGACATAGCTAGTAAGTGGCCAAACTAGTATTTTGAACCTATATCTATTTGACTTCAAATCTTGTGTTTTTATTTCTATTCTGATTATAACTTGTTAACCAAGGAATTGAATCACTGTTACTGATCATATTTTCTTTGTGAGAGCTTCAGTGGTTTGTGTTAAATCCTGTTAGAATGGAGAAACACAACATAGGTTCAAATGACATATTCTGAAGACAGTTTCATGGCATTGAAATGAATATCTGAGACCTTGTCCTACAGGTGCTAGTTGTGTCTAATATGCTTCATTAATTTGCAGCTAAATGCATAACAGAGTAATAAATAATTCTCAAATAACTTAAATATTAATCTCTATACATGTTAAAATGTTTCCTTGAGAGAATTTTTCAAATTTTATTCATATAGCATTTCTCAATAGATTACTGCTTGTCTCAAACATAGAACTGGCACATGACAAAGATATATATAAAACACAGTCCCTAAACTAAACAATATTTTAATTCGTTTGGGGACACAAGATATACATATATAAAGTAATCAGACTACACTATAATTTCACCTAAATCATGAAAAAGAAAGGAAGACAGTAACTCAGGTGCCATGCTAATTTTTGATTCATATAGTCCTTTGTATTCTACCAGCAACATGGTAAGTTTAGGTGCTGTTTTTCCCATTCTTCAGACTAGAAAGCTCAAACTCAGAATTAGGAGGTGATTGAAATGAGTGTCTAAATCCTGATCTTTCTGATTTCACTACCCAAACTCTCTTCACAAACAAGTGTGCTTCCAAGAGACCAAAAGGTGTTACAGATTTCGAAACATGATATGCAAACATTCACACTTTTCTCCATTTGAAATAAACACACTTTCTTTTTCTGCAGGGCAGCATTTCTTGTTGCTGTCAGGTAGCACTGTTCTCTTAAAAGAAAGAAATCCACATCTTTCTCTAAAGAAAGGCCTCAAAAAGCCAAGCTCTCTACCCTGATTCTGTTCAGTTCTGCTGCTGCATCTCACCCTCACCTACAGTGTGTAGAGGACGTTATGGTACGATGCTATTTTCCATTGGCTCTGCTACTGGAGATTACAGCATGCGACTGTGACAAATGGATATTCCCATTAAATTCTTTAGTAGAGTGGGACATTCCATTAACCATTGGCACTATCCCAACCCAAGTGAAACACTGGGTCATTTCTTTTCTTAGGAACAAAAAGTAAAGGGAAAAAAGAAAGGATATACTCTAATTACCTTTCCTATTTTTTTTTTGTTGAATGCATTATGATAGCTATATATTACAATTATTTATAATTAATATATGACAAGCTGTCAGCTAAAATTTAACAGGTGATTTGTCAAGAAATCCTATTAATTCATACATTAAACCGTGGAATTTCAATACTTCCTAACAATAAAAGTGAATTTTGGTTTTGTTGTGTTCAAATATTCAGAGGCCACCTATTTATATATTCGCAGCATCTCTTAAAAATACGATTCATAACAGAAGTGGGTACTTTGTTAGTAATATAACAAAAAGCACTTTTTTTTTTGGTCACTTTAACCTTTAAATGCTAATGTTTTCACTGAAGAAATTAATTGCCTAGTGTTTATTTTTTAAGTTTTAAACTTTTATGATTTTTAATACATTTTTCAAATGATGTCTTTGGTAGTAAAGGCAAAACTGAATGGAGAGGAAAGTAATTATAGTTACTTATATGCCATTTAGCCTTTGTATTTCACACTAGAGAATTTAGAAATGAATGAAAATTTTAAAATATAAGAAAAGATAAGTCACCAGAAGCTTGTAATTAATCACCTAATAGAGGGGAAATCTATGGAGACCAAGAATTGATGAAGCATGCTCCATTTCGCTGAATGGCACAAGAACAGGGCACATGATGGAAATGAGTCACAGATATTTCTTGGGAGGGAGAGCAAGGATCTAAAAGAGAAAAAGATTGGTTCCAATATCTATAGAAAGTCAATGTCATGGGACATAACCAGAAATAAAATTAAATTTTAAACTACTATTTCATGATTGGTTCCATGGCCAACCAAAGTTTGCACAGTAGCCCCCCTCTTATCCATGAGGATATGTCCCAAGAACCCTAGTTGATATCCTAAAACCATAGATAGTACCAAATCCTACATAGACTATGTTTTGTTTTGTTTTTTCCTATACATACATATTGTTTCACTTAAAGGAAGCACTTCATGGCTTCTCTTTGGCATACTACAACTCTTGCCAGCATTACTACTCTTGTGCTTTGGGGCTGTTATTAAGTAATCTGGAGGTTACTTTGAACACAGGCACTGCTATACTGCTGCAGTTGATATGATAAGCAAGACAGCTAGTAAGAGACTAACAAGGGAGCGTATACAGAATGGATACGCTAGACAAAGGGATGATTCACATCCTGGGCAGGTCAGAGCAAGAAGATACAAGATTTCATCACGCTACTCAGATTGGTGTACAACTTAAAACTTATGAATTGTTTATTCTGGAATTTTCATTTTTATATTTTCAGACCACAGTTGACTGGTAACTGAAACCACAAAAAGCAAAACCGTGGATCAGTGTCGGGGCGCGGGGTGGGGGGGGGACTACTGTACCATTTAAGAGAATAATAGTAAAATAGTAAATCAGCATTTGTTTAAAATTTCATTTGCACAAGGCCAACTTATCTTTCAAGACTAGAGCAAGCCGTTGTTAATGATTTGCAATCAACTACTGTAGAGGGTGCTGAATCTCCTTAATGAAAGAATGTGCTTCAGGATTCAATGGTTAGGAAGAGAGAAAAGAAGAAAATACAAGTAAAACCTAAAGCACAGCAGTTTTTCAAAGCTAATAAGATTTCTATGTCCACCAAGTTCAGTTTTCACATTTTTAGTAATAAAGCGATACAGAGTCATAAAATTATTTTTAAAGGGTCGTTCAAATAGGGTTTCATTCAGAAACGAAAGACCACAAGTTGATTTCCATGTAACAGAGTATATCTCTTCACAGGCTGAGGACTGTAAACGACCAGTGACAAATCAGCCCTTGTATCCTGGACCGGGATCTAAGCTACAACATCTCGCCTTGCTTCCCAGAGGCAGCAGTGTCTCCGAGTGTAGCTGTGGATGCTTCTGTGTGCATTCAGGAGCAGGTTTCCAAACAGTGAACTCAACAAAGACACCAAGACTACCATTTCTCAGCCCCTTTTCAAACCTTTCTCTATCTTTGTCTTATAGTTCTATACTTATCTTATATTTCAATTATGCCACTAAAAAGTTTCTACCGGGTGAACATACTTAGTATAATGTTCTCTCTTCAGCTGTTTGAGAGCAGTTTTGTGTCTGACTAGAGCCAAAGTTCTTATCGTAGTTCTTTAAGCATTATACGTACTTCATGAATATTTGAGGAAGGAAGGGAAGGATGCAGATAGGAAGAGAGAAAGAGGAAATTAATTGGTTGTCAATCGCCCCTTTTATGAGAAATATCATTTTCTTTAAAAAGCTTCCTGCAGTCTCTTATGTAGAATAAATTTGCTCTGCCTCTGGTCTCACATTCTTTTTTTTTTCCTTCTTATATTCTTACTCTTTGTATTTTTATTGAACCCTGTTAAGCTCTGAGCATCTCCATACTCTTTATATCACTGTCAGCAGGCACAGAACCTGGACTATAAACATATCCCAAAAGATTTCTGATGAATGACACAATGTATGATAACATGGGCTTAGATACCTCTGTGGCCGGTCAGATGTCACCTTAATATTTCCCCTTATTGGGCCTGTACTGAAAGGTACAGTGACCCTGAGTTTGGTCAGAGTTAGGCTTCCCTAATTAAAATACAACATGTCGCAAATGAGAAATAATAATAAAATCCAAGAGGGAGTAGATGGATTAGTAGTTCCACAGAATTCTTAATGAGAGTAATTATAAACTTCTGTGTTTTCCTACAAGATGTTAAAATAATTGATCGGTTTATTAAAAATAAATCTTTCAGGTTAAAGAAGTACAAATTAGTAATTGATAGTTGGTCATGGGGATGGAGAGTACAGCAGAGGGAATGCAGTTAGCATTAATATGATGGCTAGGTGGAAGGTCAGGGGAGGAAGGGAATAATTGAGGGGATCGTTCAATGAACTATATAGATGTCTAACCAATGTACTGTATACTTGAAACTAATTTAAATAAATAAATTAAAAAATAAATAAATCCATCATATTTCTGACTAGTACTGAAGTTTTCAGTTTTAATAAGGTAGACTCTATTAGGTGAACAGAGCATTCACTTGTCTGTAAGCATTTTTTCCTATATGATCATATATTATTCCAAATCATCCTGATTTTCAAAATTCATTGGTGATATCTCCAAAATTACTAGTAATACTAAATGGATCCAGCTGAAATTTGAAGAGGCAAAACAAAAACTATTCTTTCCCACATGTATGATTACTTTAAATCATCTATTCAAGTGGGTGCTCATTTTATAAATGTGGGAACACTATTCTGGCTTAGTTATTTATCTGTTTTTAATTCTTTAAGGTCATGTGTTTTCTCCTTTTCTTTTCACCAAAACCCCATCTTTCCAATACAAATGTCTCTACTGTTCTTTACACTAGTACCATAATATTTTTTCATATATTCTTCTGCTCCCAGTCCTTTTCTATTTGGCCCCAATCCATTCCTCACTGTGCTGCCTAATTAACTTTATTAAAGCATAAGTTTGATTATGTAATTTCTATACTTAAAAATCTGAGTAGTTCGTGATTACTGACCAAACTAAGTTCAAATATTCTACTAGCATCCAAAGCTCACCACAAATGGAATGGTGCCTGAACCTATTTTTCCATTCTAAATTTCTACCTTTTTACTACCAATACCCTAAACTCCAGAATTGTCTGAACAAAACTGTACATTTTTCTTACGCAGTCAGAAAGTTTTCCTATCATCAATTACCTGTTGAACTCCCACCCAGCCATTCTTTAAGAATTATTACATCAAATAGTTGTGTTTTTTTCCTTCTGATTCTTTTGTACTGATATGAGTATTATTTCCTTTGAAACATCTGAATCTTCAAATTTTTCTTATGCTAATAAACATTCTACTAAAATAGGATGAAAGATGATAGAAAGTACTCACTGCCAAGATGTGTTCCATGGCTAATTTTATTGATATCGATCCATTGATTGGAATGCTAATGTGTTATTAATATGAGAATGCATTAGATGGAGTCAGTGGGAAATTATGTAAATTCATGTTTAATCACACCTTGAAAGTTTTTGTGCCATGTGACTACGTTTGGGAAGAGAACAAAGAAATTCCAAAGATTCTAACTTAAGACCAATACAAGCAGCAACATACAATGAAAACTTTTAACAAATGTCCTTCTTTCTTTCTTTCATTCTTTCCTTCTTTCTTTTAAACTCATCTATGCTCATTATCCATGCAAAGAGATGAACCAGTCTAAGACTATTAACAATCTTTGATCTCAAGAAGCACAAAATCAAATCAAGTCAAGCAGATGTTCTTCTCTGCCTCCCCCTTTGCAAAGAAACCAGTGGTTGGACATCTAGAATCAGTTCTGAAAAGAATGCTTGGCGCCCATGCTTTTACTTTTTTCCCTCCATCAGAGGGACCTCCTGCCTGATGAGTTTCAGGCTTTAGGAAATATCTAACTTTGTACCAAATGAAAGTAAGAAAGAACAGGATGCCTGCATTATCTTTTGTTTTTATTCCCACACCTCCTATCCCACCCCAAACAGACAGTTTTATAAGACTATGGATGTCAAAACTGTTCATTTTGATCAGTTCTACACTGGGTAAAGAAGAGATGAAAAATTAGAGCTAATGCTGAAAGCTATAATATTTTTCTATGATTTAATTCTTCCTGTGCCATCTATGACATACCTGCCTTTTATTAAAGTTATATTTATACCTGTTTTTCTCATTCCCTCCTCGTGCTTCTGCCACAGGCCAAACCTCAGATGTCAAAACTGTCCAATCTTTAAGAAAAGGACTGTATCTTAATCTTCTGTGTGTCCCCTGCATACCTGCAGAATGTCTTATACAAAGAGTACATGATAGACTGCTGTTTAATTGAATTTTTAGGATGTCTAATGATTTCTTTCAAATTATTAAAAACTCTGTAAGGCATAAGCATACCCCGGATTTCTCAGTTTAATATATTCTATAATAGTGTTCCTAGAGAATATACTTATTTATCAGAACATGAGTCCAAAAGTTGGGACTGCTGTACCCCCTAGAAAAGCACTGGCTGTACACAGAATCACTTGGAAAACTTCTAAAATGTATGCCCTGGGCCCACTCACATGAGCTGAATTGAATTCTTTGGGAGTGGGGCTCTAGCATATATTTTTAAAGTTTCCCAAGTGATTCAAATGTTTAGCCAAGGTGGAGTAACCTTGCTTTACAGCTCTAGGAAGCATAATTTGAGACTCACTAGACTAGATTATTTCTAAAATATTTTCTAGCTCTAGCATTCTTTTTGAAAGTAATTTTATTTTATAAACAGGAAAAAATGATCCTTTGACTGGATTCCATTTTTAAATAGAAACTACAAATTAAAGCCCAATTTTCATATGCTCGTATGGTATTTTTAGCACTTCTTTTTACTTAGTTTTCATGTATGCCCCTTCATCCCAGGGCTCATTCAGTCAGACCTCCACTGTGTGTGAGGTATGTCAACTATGCACTATTGTCATTCTAAGAATGTGTCCTGTGAGCAAGGACATATTAAGAAAAACCCTTTTATCCAAATACAATACAAATATCCCTTAATGATTTTCATTCCCTGCAGTCCAAGTAAAAGAGGAAGCAATATTATCAAACTACCCTAAATTCCAACTGCCCCACCCTCAAATAAATCTCTGATTAAAACGAAGAAAAAATCAGAAAGATTGAAACCTTCCTGGTAATGATTTGAAATGAAGTCTTGATGCCCATGTGTTATTTTCAGAGTTAAATCAGGAACAACAAAACTATAAGTTTTGGGAGAGAAGGATGCTGCTCACAAATTTTTGCTTAAGGGATTCATTTTCTTGAGAGGGAAGTATTCTTGGTAAACTCTAATAATAGAAAACTATCAACTATGCAAACTACACAACTACAGAAGACTTCCTTTATTTCTCTAAGAGTTCCTAGCACATTATCTAGCAAATATGAGGAACACTATCCATTCCATGTTAGTTAAATATTAACAATCATGTGGAACTCTGCGGTTCACAGAAAATTTTAAGAGGCCCATCTCTTTTAAGGCTCCTGAGAATTTGGGGGATGGCAAAACACCCATTTTACAGATGACCCGGAGCCTAGAACCTCTGGGCTAGTTCTTGGGAGTCAGAATTTTTGGTAAGCTCGTCCGGTAATTCTAAAAAATACCATGATAACTCAATTCATATTTATTGATTTGTTGTATTGTTCCTAGGAAAATAACCCAGTACAGCTGAGCAGACTCTGGCATTTCCTGAGAGGCTGGCTACATTTTACTAGGATTTGTCTTTTTCTTTCTTTCATACTTTCTGAAAGGAAAAAAAAAAAAGATTCACAGGTGACATTATTTTACCTAAATCTACAAGCTTTTAAATTCTGTTCAGCATAGCTGAATTATTCCAACAGTTATCTCTTCTCTGAAGGAAGCTCCTAGCTTGCAGCACTTGGGAGGCTTGAATGCTAACCACTCCCCTTCTGTCCTAAGGTCTTAACAGCCCATGGAGACCTTAGGCCTCCTTCAGCAAGCAGCTGTAATTACATGAAATTTACTGGATGTTGTACATAGTGAAACCTCACATCCCTCTGGGACATTTCAGTGGGCTTCAGCATTCTCTTTGAAAAACCACCTGTTTTAGCTGTTACACACAGGGGGTGAATTGGCCATGAGCTACCTGTGTTGCTGTGTGTCTTTCTCCAAAACAAAACAAAACAAAACAACAAAAAAAAACTTTAAAAGTAAAAGATATGTTCTCATCTAGTTCACATCCTGCCCCCTCCCAAAAAACAAAACAAAACAACAAAAAAAAACTTTAAAAGATATGTTCTCATCTAGTTCCCCCCCTGCCCCCCCCCCCCCCCAAAAAAAAAACCCTTATATTAGAACAGCATAATAGCTACCTTGGAAATACCATCTCAAATCGCACTTGGAAGGAAAAAAAAAAAGTCAAATAGACCCCTCTATAAAATCTTTAGAATAAAACTATGGATTTCAAAGAAGAAGACAATGTTATTTTTACCTTATAATTACTCCTAATCCACGCAGAGACTGGAGAGAAGATTTAATGTCTGAAATGAAATACACTTGACTGGAAATGAAGAAGCAAGGGGAAAAAACCCTCAAAAATTAAAGGAAAAGAAAGTGTGTGTCAACCACCCCAATCTTCTTGATTCTCAAACTTTCCAAATTCTTTTGGTTCACCACCCCAACCTTAGTACTACCCTCTCGTTTAACAACCCTTCAGCTCTTCTGGTTACAGTTTCTGGGAATAATGTCTGTCAATAGAAGAGAGATTCTAAAGAGTTTGGCATTTTTCCTCTGTGGCATAGAAAG